CCGCTAATAATAGTTATTATGTATATACTTGTGTAAATAAGTATACAAGATAGGCAAGATCTGTAACAAGATAACAGTAGATAGGGTGATCTTTTCAAGGGCTTCTTGAGTAGCGTTATGCTATTGAATGGAGGTTTTACCATTGATTTACATTGATCAAAGCACATCACTTCACATCAATCCACCTCTGGAGGTGAAGTGAGAGTGATGCACATCAATTTGAAACCACTCTAGTGTGAACACGATTAATGCCCATCAATGCGCATTACTTTGGCCAGTGTGAAAAGGCCTTTAGAGTATCTACAATATACACAATAATAGGTACTTGTACTTACCTGTATTGGTTGATCTGGCTTCTGAAACTTAAACCACTTTCTCTTACTATCATTCTCTTTCTTTTTCTTTCTGTTCACGTCGTCCCATTTCTCACAGAAAAACAGCATCACAAATATATTAAGTAGTCCACCATGTATTATGAGGTAGTAGCCAGGCCAACGGAATGGATCTAGAGAAGGTATCTGAGAGGCAAGAGCTCCTAGGCCTAATAAAAACAAAGTCATTATGATTAAGGCTACGTTTACACAGCAATGGAAAACGCATCGTTTAATTAAAGTATCCACTTTGAACACCTTTTTGTTTCCATATTCTATCACGGTTTCATTCATTTCTGTGTAAACAGAAGCATAAAACAGGCACAAAACTATACTGATTGCATCGTTTTTCACTGCTGTGTAAACATGGCCTAAGTTAATAGATTATACTGACCTGGAGCAACAGCTAATCCTGTAACAGTCGTTGCAAACTGAATGAAGTAATTCGTATATTTGAGTGAAGATTTTTCTTTACTATTCTGCTCAGTTGGTCTGAGAGATGCCTCCTTTCTCATTTGGATAACTTTATCACTGGATTCACCAGTATAAGTTCTAGTTAAGGGCTGTCCAATGCCTATGTAGAAGCCAGCTAAAAATCGACCTTGCATAAAATGATAATATGAAAAAGTTACACGACCACATTTTGATTACCTGTTATCACCATCCAGCCATTAACAGCAAAACTGAAAAAGATTCCAGAGAGCATGAGAATGAAAAGGGACCCAATAATGATGTATTTGTAATAGAATGAGCGAGCAAATACACTAAAGAGTAGAGCACCCACAAATATACCAATACTCTGAGCACTGATGACCCAGGAATACCACGTTTCACTCAAACCAAGACCAGGTACAACCTATTATGATAATTCGAGAGTGCAAACTTGCAACTGTCACTGTAACAGTTCAAATGTTGTCTTGAACCTAAACCCAATTTGTAATATGAAGCCATTAACATGCATAATAGTTTATATTAGCTAACCATAGCATCTAAATACCCTCTTATAAAGACCATTATTATATCAATATACTAACAATAAAGTGGATAAAAGCTCAAAAAAGCTTCAGGCTTGAAGGAGTATCATAATCGTTATAATTAATTTGATAATCTAAATACCCAAGGGAGCCAAAAGTTTATGCAGTGATAGTAAATGAGTTACTTGTGAATCAGTAGTGTTTGATGAGCTGGTAATGAACTGGTGTAGTAGGGGGATGGTGATGTAATTTGTTGTACCAGTGAGATATGTCATTGACCATATGATGACCCAGTTAAGTCTGAAGCGACTTATCTGCTTGACTGTTGAAAGGATACATGAATGCATCGAATGCATGATAGAATAGATAAATACTTGGTAATTTTCTGAGCACATAGCAATCAATTTTCATTTTTGACCTTCTGCAGCACGCTGGCTTTGTTGTTGTGGTAGGTGTGGTGTTAATTATGCTAACCACGCCCTTTATCAAGATGGCGGAGTGAGTTCATCCTCTAAATTAATTTTACTTTCTTATTTTCGCTAGATCTGATACTTGGTGGTCCTCTTGGGTCACTTCAGCTAAAGAAAAGGTTAGTAGGATCTTATTCTATATCTTTACTCTCTTTATAACGTCTAGTCACTCTCTGCTTTGAATGCAACAAAAAGAGACTTGTCAGAATTTATGAGCACCGTTCAGAGGGACACCTCAAATGCTGTTGTTGGGGTCGCTGATAGTGTCAAATCTTACCTACAACAAGAAGAAGTAAGGAAAAGATAGAGGTTGATTTAGAAGCCATCCAGCTTCTTGTCAGTGGATTGTCAAGTCACTCAGAAATTAGGCCAAAGACCCTGTACTATATAGTACAGGGTATTTTGATAAAAATTACAACGAGAGAATTCTCCATTTTTATAAATTTTTCTGATGCATATATCAACTTTGAGCTGATTCCAACCTAATTTTTATTTTTTATGAATTTTTAAAATTACTAAAAAATTGGACCAAAGTCCCTGTACTACAGTACAGGGACTTTAAGCCAAATTTCATTAAAAATGGCTAAGAGAGAATTCTCCGTTTTAATAATTTTTTCTGATGCATAATATGTTTTAATGTTGTGTTTCAACTTTGAGCTTATTTCGACCAAATTTGGATTTTTTATGAATATTTAAAGTTACTCAAAAATCGGACCAAAGTCCCTGTACTACAGTACAGGGACTTTTGCCAAATTTCATCAAAAATGACTAGTTGTCAATTTATGGAGCATGCCTATTTAGCTCATGTAGCATGCTTTATTGGAAACCCTGCTGCTACCCTACACATTAAATAATAATGCCCATCGGCGTGATTATATTATTTCTTGTTAGAGTGTGTCCAGTGGTGATAGTACAAGTTCCTCTACATCAGCTCCTCAAACACAGAAATCAAATGAAGAAGGTAAAAGAGATACTAGGAGAGAGAAAGGGAGGGACATTAAAAGATATTCAGTAGAAGTACTGATGATCTTTGATGTATTTAGATCAAATGATTCTAACTGAAGCCACTGATAGTGGTACTTATGATCGCTCGCAAGCTTTGATTGAGACCATTCGAAATGATCCATTGTCTTACCAGTCACCA